CAGAGGTTTTGTACCAAGTGTCTACTGGCACATTTGTTGGAGGCCTAAAAGTCAATGGCCTCTTTTCTTGGTTAGAACCCCTTCTGAGATCATGTCGAAAGTCAGCATTCTCCCTTCTCTTATTCGCTGCTCTCACGCCTTGAATGTGCTCAGCAGCTTTTTTATCAAAGATCGAACTGCATCTTGGACACAGCATCACCTCTGATTTCTTTTTCTGGCATCTTTGTAGAAAATCTGCCAAGTTTTCGTTTTCCCGAGGGAAAGCAGTCTTATTAGCTTGTTCTTGCCTCATGGCCTCTTCTGATGCTTTTGGGTCAGAAAGTTCGACCATGTTGATATTCATTGTATCTTTGTTAGCAAGAGTTAACTGCTTCATTTGTATCTCCAGATTCTCCGTCTGGCCTTGAACAGTGGCCAAGTGGGAACTGGGTTTTGATCCAGTTTTTTGTGCTTCAGCGGTCTCCGACTTCGGGTTTTCGACCGCTTTCTGGACAGCTTCAATTGTCTTCCTGGATAAATTTCCAGAAAAACTGCCAAAGATTGGCATGTTGATGTGGTCCTTTGAGACTTCGACCATGGTAATTCCTGGCTTCTTCGACTGGATCCTGGTTGCCTCTATCATGTTCACCTCATAGGGTTCAGCATAGTGGGCTTCAGCCTTCAATGGATTGGAGTCGACAGCCATGGGGGATTTGTCAGCAAACTTCAATCTCCCTTCTTCAATAGCGTCTTGCACAAGATTCCTGAAAAGAAAACATTGAGAAGTTTTATGGCCCAAAAAATTATGATATTTGCAAAAACCTCTCTTCTTTCTTTGATCAAGAGGAGGCACTTTTACCCCTGGGGGTACTATCATTTGGCCATCTTTAACTAGCAAGTCGAATATTTCATCACATTTTGTGATGTCAAAACTATAAGTCTTTTTTGGGAACCTATCGTTGGTCCTTTCTGGACCAATGGGATTTTTCCCATTTGAGGGGACTAACAGTTTACAAGAGTATGGTGGCCCTTGTTTCAGTTCTGCTAAATCGACTTCTCCTTCTTCGACAGTTAAAGTATCGTCGAAGGATTCTAGATCTTCGTCATCCATCTCAACGTACGCTATCCTTTCTCTCTTGTGAGTTTTCGTTGCCTTAGCTTTTTCAGCTTTGAGGCGTTCGACCTGTCGAACTCTATCGGCCAGTTGGGCCATGTCTCTTAGGTACTGGGTGTCTAGCTTCTTCCTAATGGAATAATCTAAACCGCCTGCGGCTATTTCGACCAACTCATGTTCTGGCACTTGTGTAAAACATCTCGCCTTGAGCAACCTAAACCTATTCAGATATTCGTCTATAGGTTCAGTGAAACGTCTCTTCACACTGGCCAGTTCTTTCAGGCTTATCTTGGTTTGCCCCATGTAGAATTGTTCATGGAACAATCTTTCCAACTGGGTCCAATGATGGATCGAATTGGGGGGAAGAGTTGTAAACCAAGTAAAAGCATTCTTGGTTAAAGAACTTGGGAAGTACTTGATCCTTAGGTTTTCGTTATTCGAAATGTCTCCTGCTTCGATCAAGTATCTCGCCACATGCTCGACAGTAGATTCTGTCGTGTCCCCAGAGAACTTAGTAAATTTGGGGACTTTGCATCTAGGAGGTAAGTCTGTTTGTAACACGTATTCTGACAATGGAGATGTAAAGTTGGGCCTTCGAAAGCCCATGTTCATCCCATTCTGAGTCATGATCCTTTCAATCATGGTTGCCAGATTGTTTTCCAAGCCCATGTTTTGGTATTGGATATGCTGAACCACTTCGTCAGCATTTTGGTTTCTGTTAACTAACCTTACCTCTGGGGTTATTACCCTAGGTTCCTCGACAGGTTGTTCCAATCGTGCCCTAAGGTTTTCTTCGACAGGCTGTTGAGCCTGGTTAATGGTGGTTTCTTCCTCTAAAAATATCCCCTGATTTCCCCTTATTTGCGCCCTTTGGGGCTGTCGAATAAGTGGGGGTACTCCAAAGAAATCAGCCAAACGCGTCATTTGCGCTGTCACTTGCTGATTCGATTGAGTAGTGTTTTGGATTAGAGGGTTTAGCACCGTACTCAAAGTCTGTGCCAACATTTGCACCATATCATGGTTGCTTTCGTCCATTTGTTGCCTCAAGACTGCTGTCGAGGCATTTGTAAGGCCATGGGCTACTTGGGACGTTCCTCCTAAGAGTTGGGTCCTATTTCTATTCGCCATGCCTACTCCAGAGCCTTGGAGTGGCGAAGAGGCACTCACTAAAGGGTCTGAAACAGTGGACGCAGCATTCGTCAGGCTTGCCACTTCAGAAGTTGGCATACCATAGAATGGAATGAATCCTGGGGGAACCAAAGGCCTTGTGCCTAAATTTCCCCTTGGTGGGGGAGTTCCCAAAGGCATCCTGGGGCCTGTTAACGAAGGTATTGGCCCCGTGGTTGTGACCGATACTGCTGGTGTCGAACCAACATTTGTCGCTTCACTTACGGTCATATTAACCGTTGCTCCCACACTCGTTTGTGGGATTTCGTTAGTGTTTGGCGGATTCGCCATCTCTTCCCTTCTTCTGGCAGTATTGTTATCGTTAGTGTATATTCTACCACTTCTCAATAACATACAACTCGAAAAGATGAGATTATTTTCAACAATCAACACACAGTCCCACCGGGTGTGCCAATTTGTTTACCTTGGTTTTTGGTAAACAACCGCTGATCCTCCAAATGGTTACTTATTTGGTTACTCGCAGGATCGATCAGATTGATCCTAGGACATAGGTTGATTTTGAAGTTTGATTAAATTGGATAAGGCTTTAAATAAAAAGGTTTCGAGTAAATTGCATGAAGGAAAGACTTGGTAAAATAAACAAGGCTTAAAGTAAAAGGCTTCGACAGGAGTGTAAAGGAGAAAACAAGTAAATTTCTGGAAAATTAAATGACTTTGATAAATAAAATTGGTGTTTCACACATACATTTCTCAACAATTCTTTCTCACACGCTGGGTACTCGAATCTATATGAGTGACTTTGTATAGAATTGTGAACACACGCGAGAAACTACATGTCTACTACTATTTATACTAAAACATCCCAAGTAACCGTCGGGCAGTTACACTGCTTCGAGATCAATCCACTTGGCACGTTCTCCACGCTCGACGCTCCAGATCCTTGCACGTTTGCACGTGGTAACTGCTGGAAACCGTTTTCCCTCCAAAAGCTTGAATTTCAAAACTGCTCCACTCTGGACCATCGAACACTCTCGTCAAGAGACATCTTCGACGAGAGACTCCTTCGACGTCGAAGGCAATCAGCCTTCTTCTTTGGAAGAAATCTTCTAAGTACTTTGCCATCTTTCGACGGGCATTTCGACAGACTCAGCCAGTCGAAAACATCTTTCAGCTTTAATGACTGACATCAACAAAACAAAGGTGTCGAATTTAGGAGCCAACACTCATGCATATCATTGGTTCTATGGTTATGAGATCAAGGTTTTTGGTGATTTGGGTTACCCTGTTCAAAGCGAATGATATGTCACTCAAATGTAATGCAAGATTGAACTATCATCATGGTTATGATCAAAAGTTCATCTTTCATTCCAAAGCTTTTCAAGCTCATCTAAAGATATGGTTTCTCTAGTGGTTGCGGCTTATATATCAAATAAAGGTTGATTCCTTCTTATTCTTATGGTTCTTCTTTGTGCGTTGAAGTGTGGAATTAGGGTTGTGATCCATGGTTAGTATGGATTCCTCCATCTTCAAGCTACAAGACTATTTTACTCTTATCAAAATCTTAAGATATCTTCTTCATTGAGCATTTGAGACAAATAGATTAGATTTAGCATTTCATCAAAGTGTTCATCTATGTTTCAAGTCTTATCTTCTTCATTCAAGGATTCAAGGCATTGATATTTTGTTGGTTATTAAATTCAAGGCATGGTATAATAAATTATAGATTCATGGTGATCATGACATTATTGTGCTCTTTCAATTTCTTATGGATTGTTGCTTGAGTGATAAGTTAATGTGAGCTTGAGATATTCTTCCAAATGTGCCATGAATCCAATATGGCTAAGTGATCAAGTCAAGGTTTTGGTTTAGGGATTCCCTATGGCATCAACATGGATTTCTCAAGGGTTAATTAAAGAGATCAAGTTGAAAGAGAATTAGAATTCTAAATTTGGATATTGAAATGAAATTCGGGATTCACATTTAAGAAAAAATCGTGTTACTCTTGCTTGAAATCACTTCATAGTTAGAAAGATGAATCAACTTTTCAAATCAATATCCAAACAAAGTGAATTCAATTCATGATTCAAATATCATAATATCATGCAAAAATCCATATTAGCATTATAAAATAAATTTGGAACAAGTTTGATAAATTCAGTTTACAAGTGAAGATTCAAATTGTACAAAATGGAGCCAAGTACAAGAGGCATTTCATTACTTGAAGAACATGTCACAAGACCATAATTTTGAATTACATGAAATCGATTCCTAAATTCTAAGAGCTTGCTTCTAATCTTCAAAGCCTTTCACCAAAACTGATGCTAAATTCAAGCAATAAAGTTTTCTATGTCCATAAAAAACGCAGCCAAACTGAAACCAATCGAAGCCAACTAACTCAATAGAAGTTTACTAACCCCAAAGCGGAATTGCATAATAGAAAAATGAAACCAATCGAAGCCAAACATGCTTAAACTCGCTTCATGTCAAAACCGAAATTAACATGCACTAACTCAATAAACTCAATAGAAGTTTACTAACCCTTAAATTAACACAAAACCAATTATCCAAAACAGAATTGGACAACTCTGCGTAACCGATTTTTGAGGGAATAACTAACTTGTTTTTGCATAACCTACACCATTAGTCTTTGTAAAAAACTCTCAGAATCAAGAGTTGAGATTGGTTCAGTCTTAAACAAACTCAGATTTCTATGTAAAGAGACTTGGGATTCCAAAACAGGGGAGAGAATAAAATTGAGAGGGAGAAAAACCGAGAGCGCATGAAAACTCACCAAAACTCACCAAGAAAATCCCTCAAGAAGTTCTCTCTAAAATCACTGCTTCAAGCATCGTCAACCTTCATCTTCTTGGAACCCAACCTTCAATTCTTTGGAACCCAACCTTCAATTCTTTGCAATCTTCATCTCAATCATCATCAGAATTGCAACCGGCATCAATCACTGAAACAAAAACAAATTTGCATCACAATTCTTGAGAGGATCATTATCTTCGCATAAGTTCTAAAAAACTGCAACTTCATCACACTCTTCATGAACATCATCATCAATCTTCATCACCCTGCTACAGCTTCAAAAATGAATTCGCAATATCAACGACTCGAAGATCGTGTAGAAGAAGAATAGCAAACAAAATATTGCAAGTGATTGCCTAAAACCTCATTCTCGATGGTGTCAAAGCAAGATCGAAGAATGTTCTTGAATTGATCGAGAGGAATGTCACGAAGAACAACGTATCTGAGATGAAGTCGAGCTCGAACGCTGTTATGTGGTGGCCGGAGTGAGCGCAAGTGGCGATTCTGAGACAAACGAATCTATGAAGATGTTGATAACAGAAACAGAAGAGCACGGCCGAGATCTTGCACGGCGATGAAGCGAGAAAAGTCAGAAGATAGAGTTGAGTGGAAGAATAATGGTTGCGGCATGATTTCCACAATGACGTGGTGTTGATTTCGCTATGAGAGAGTGAAACGCGTTGAGGAAGAGGACGACAAAGTTGGATCAGAAGAATACCGCCACGAATGGAGAAGAAGACTTTTTTCTTATAATGTGAAGTGTCACAAGACGTAACCTTAATCCCTCTCCATATTGTATCGTATCCATTCAACCCATAAGAATTTCTTTATTCTCTATTTTTTTAATATATAATAAAGATAATGTTGACAAATAAAGGGGATTGGATTTTTGATTGGGTGTGGACCGATCCACCCTTGTCCTTGGTCCAAAGGGAAATTTTTGGTAGCCTTCTAATTTGTAAAATAAAACTGTTTGTAGACCAAATTTGATGGACTTAGCACCAATTTGCCTACATCACCCTGAATCCAGCTTATACCTCCTGGATCTTTATTTTCAATACTTGTTTCGATTTCACTTTTGATCAGTTATTGTGATTGAATTTTTGTGATTTTGGTAAATAAAAGATATTTAGTTGAAGAGTTTCAAGAAGGTTTCGAAGTAAATTAAGAGCCTAATATTCATCAAGAAAATCCGAGGAAGCTTTTGGTAGAATTTTCTTATCGCTTGCGTGGCTTTGAAGAAGCAACAGACTTTATGCGTTAGGTATCGTCGTAGCTTTCTTTTTACTTTCTCATTTTTGCATCGTTTTCAATTAATCTTGCCATGAGAAGTGGGATAGAGATGCATGACTGGAAGTCCTACCTCGAAGTAGGCAATTTCTAATTTTTTGAAGTCATACCTTGAAGTAGGAAATTTCTGATTATTTGAAGTCCTACCTCGAAGTAGACAATTTCTGATTATTTGAAGTTTTATCTTGAAGTAGGCAATTTCTGATTATTTAAAGTCCTACCTCGAAGTAGGCAATTTGTGATTATTTGAAGTCCTGCCTCAAAGTAGGCAATTTCTGATTATTTGAAGTCATACCTTGAAGTAGGCAATTTCTGATTATTTGAAGTCCTACCTCGAAGTAGGCAATTTCTGATTATTTTAAGTTCTGTCTTGAAGTAGGCAATTTCTGATTATTTGAAGTTCTACCTCGAAGTACGCGATTTCTAATCATCTGAAGTCCTACCATCGAAGTAGGCAATGTTTGAGCATTTAAAGTCCTACCTCAAAGTAGGCAATGGTTGTGCATTTAAAGTCCTACCTCAAAGTAGGCATTATTTTGTGTGCACTTGTGCAATAAATTAAAGGGCTTTTCTTAACATTGATAGTGGATACTATGACAGGCTTGGTGTATTAATCTCTTGATTATTTGATCTCTTTAGGTCTTGATTTGGTAATTCTTTTGTAGTTATAAAATAATGCATAGGTTGTTAACTTGTTAACCTAGTTAGGAGCTTACTTATCTTGTATAGTTCTCCATGCCTTGGTAAGTTTGAAGTAACTTCTTTGTTATGATGTTAACATGTTTAAATGACTTTTACCTTAATGTTTAGGTTTAATTTGAGTCATATGCTAGGTGAATCATATTGTTTGGTTCATAGGTTTATAGTTGGATACTTTTGACCTAATTTGGGTACTTAGTTTGCCTTGATGCTTAACTTTCTGGCGAGAATTGTATAAGATGAACACTTGTGAGGTTGCTACTAAATTGTAAGGTTGTTTACCTTGTGTAGTTTAAAGTTCACTTGCATGCTAAGCTTTAATTACATTGTGATACTTAAAAAACATGTTTCTTCTTGTACTTGTTGAAAATGTTTAGTGTAGGTTTAAAACCATGATGCATGACCCTTAGGCTTAACCTTTAAGATGTTTTACACCTTTAGCCTTGATTTATCATCTTCTTACATGTGTAGATACCATATTATGAATTTGTTTAAGTGTTTGCTTTAGAAGTTGAAACTTGAAGCATGTTTGTGTTCCATCTTTTGGTATGTGAACTTGGTGTTTGTAAACCCTCTTGTTATTGGTGATTAGGTAGACCTTTGAGTCTTAATCCAGGTTTAGATAACATGTTTAGGTTGAGTTTGTTAAATTTTGGATTCTTTTTGCATGATGCTTGTTAATAATGTAACAATTTTCTTGCATGTCTTGCCTTTGTTAAGGTAGATTGATGATTAGGAGCATGCTTAGGTTGTAACCTTGATGTTTAAAATTTTTTGTATGTATTCATGATATAAATTATGTGCTTGCTGACTTATAGAGGCTCCCATCTTACCTAAGTCCTTTTACCTTTGCTTGTTAAGCATTGATGTTGCTTCGACACCTTAAAACTTGAGTGTTTGTGGGATTGTTGATTGCTTTTGACATGGTTTGTAATTCCTTAGGGTAGAATCGTTTGAGCATGGCCCTCAAGGGACCTTAGTGTTTGTGTTTAACACATTTAAGCTAATTGATTGATGACTTGAAGTATGCATTAGAGCTTAGACTCTTGTTTGATGCTACTTGATTATTGGTCTTAGACTTATACACTAGGTGTTTGGTGGGTTCTTAAGCCTTTTATTTTGTTGATTTGTCCTTGTTTTATCTTTGTATATTCCCTTAGGATCACTTGGTTCATATTTGAATCAAGGTAGACATTAGGCTTCTAAACCATGCATGCTAACATTAGGTAGATTTCCATTTTGTTATCCTAACTTTAGGACCACCATTGCATGACAACATTAGGAATTGAGATTCCCTTAGATTTTTCATTCCCCTTTTGCATACTTAAGACTAAAACTCTTTTTCTTAATCAGTAGTTAAAAACACTTAAAAATAATGAGGAGAACCATGTGTCATGAGCCTTAATTATTGGGGGGGGGGGGGGGGAGGGTATGAGATGGTGTATTCCTAACCTTGTGCTTCTTTTCAATCATAGCCTTTAATGTGGTTCAAATCACCAAATCCTTTCTCAAGGTAAAAAAGACTAACCCAATTAAAACCTTTTTGCCCCCAGGCTGCCTCCGGGCCTTTCTTCCAAGAAAACTTTTTCATAAAAGGATGTGTTATTTCCATTTCGCACAAATGACACATAAGTCCCCAAAGGTCGGGCGACACTATGTCAACTGGTAGAGTGTGAATGTAACATTATCCGCCTAAAAAACACAAAACAAATAAAAATCTTTGAGCCGAACTACGATGCTCTGATTCCTTAAAATTGATACATATGCATTTGATTGCAGGGTCTAAGCAAGCACAACTATTTAAAACCTTTATTTTCCCTATATTTTTCTTTTGCATGCATACATTCCTTTAGGCTTTAAGTTTAGATAGACACACCCTTTGATTAGAACAACAAGAGTGGATCCCGTGGAGTAGCACGAATGTGAGGGGTGCTAATACCTTCCCCTTGCATAATCGACTCTCGTACCCTTCTCTCGGTCGCAAGACCTTGATTACCCTTTCTCCGGTTTACTCAATATTTTCCTTTCCCTTCTTTGGGATAAATAATATTCGATAGCGACTTTATTGTTTATCATTTTCCTAGTTGCCTTAGTCACCAGAGAATTTTGTGAACTTTGGGGATTTCCAACCCCTGGGTAATTCAATCTGTAGAACATACTTAGACAAAAGGGATGACAACATTAGGAATTGAGATTCCCTTAGATTTTCGGCTCCCCTTTTGCATACTTAAGACTAAAACTCTTTTTTTATTCAAATGTTGAAAACACTTAACAATAATGAGGAAAACCATGTGTCATGAGCCTTAAGTATCGGGAGGAGTATGAGGTGGTGGATTCCTAACCTTGTGCTTCTTTTCAATCATAGTCTTTAATATGGTTCAAATCACTAAATCATTTCTCAAGGTAAAAAAGACTAAACCAATTCAAACCTTTTTGCCTCTAGGCTGCCTCTGGGCCTTTCTTCTAAGAAAACCTTTTCATAAAAGGATGCGTTATTTCCATTGCACGCAAACGACACGTAAGTCCCCAAAGGTCGGGCGGTACTACGTCAACTACTAGAGTGCGAATGTAACACTATCTTCCTAAAAAACACAAAACAAACAAAAATCTTTGAGCTAAACTACGGTGCTCTGATTCTTTAAAAGGGATATGTAGGCATTGGGTTGCAGGGTCTAAGCGAGCACAACTATTTAAAACCTTTGTTTTCCCTTTATTTTTCCCTTGCGTGCATGCATTACTTTAGATTGTAATTTTAGATAGACACGTCATTTGATTAGAATAACAAGAGTGGATCTTGTGGAGTACCATGGACGTGAGGGATGCTAATACCTTCCCCTTGCATAATCGACTCTCGTGCCATTCTCTTGGTTGCAAGACCTTGATTTCACCTTTCTCAAGTTTACTCGATGTTTTCCTTTCCCTTCTTCATGATAAATAACATTCTATGGCGACTTCATTGTTCATCATTTTCCTAGTTGCCTTAGTCACCAGAGAATTTTATGAACTTTGGGACTTTCCAACCCCTAGGTAATTCAGTATGTAGAACATACTCAGACAAATGGGACATGTAATTTAACCTTCGGAGGCCTATATTTACCCTATTTCGAGCCATTATTCTTTCTACCATGGATGCCATATTATTTTCCCCTGAGTATTCGTCTTGTCAAACACGTTGAAGGATTTCGTCTGCATCTTGGTTTCGATTTAACATCATAACCCTTTGGGCTGGGATTTCCCTTGGTATGGCTTGTTCGACCCTGGGTTGTTATATTATGGGCCCTTGATTGACTTCACCATCAATATGTGCAATTGGTTGTGTTTCGTTGATTGTTGGGTCCTCTTTGACTACCCTTGGTTCTGTCTTATCCAATCTTGACGAGCCTGTCGAACTGAGACTTGGGGAGCGCCAAAGAAATCTGAAATTCATGCCATATATGCTGCCAATTAGTGATTTATTTGGGCATTTTGTTGGTTGGTTTGAGTAGCACTTTGGATTAGTGGGTTAAAGATTGTACCCATTTGTTGGGTTAAAACACCAACCATTTCATGATTCCTATAATCCATTTGTTGTTGAAATGTCACTGCAGAATTCGCTGTTAGGTTAGATAATTGGGCAGTAAATCCTGGGGGTGGAACATTTCGACCCGTGTTATTAATTCCTGATCCTGATCCTTGTAGTAGTGAAAATGAAGACATCCTTATGTCAGGAAATATTGATGAACTATTGTTTAGGCTTGTCATCACGGATGTTGGCATGCCATGAATTTGTTTGCGGCCATCCATTGGAATTATGAATCTAGACGTAAAGTATCTGAAA